CCAAGAGGAATAATCTTGGCATGTTAGAGACCCATCAGGATCCTGACAACCGTTAGAGGGAACATGGGAGAGAAGGCTGATTTGGGTCAGAAAAGGGTTTCTTCAACACCCGCACACCATTCTCAGAGTTGAGGTGAAGGGGAAGGACAGGGACCAATCCAGGCAGGGCTTCTAGACCATGGTGAAAGTTTGTATGTTATTCCAGGTATTATGGGAAACACACAATTTTCAACAGGGAGGGTATTTTTCGAATATTACTCTCTGGCTTCTGTGTGGAAAAAAAAGAGACGTAAGGGGGCAAGAGCAGACGTAGACAGAGCTGTTATAAGGCAGAATGCATGTACATGAAGGTGACTTGGAATTGGGTGGCGGTGGGACAACCAGACAGGTATTTTGAGATGCTTCCTAGAGATTGTAGGGGATAGGAGTTATGGTCAAGAGCTGTTTAGAAAAGTTCCGTAAGAGCAGAGAGAAATTACTTCCTGAGGAATGTTCTAGGCCAGTGATTTAGTGTGCATGTGAACCGTCTAGGGATCTTTGTAAAGATCAGCAGGTCTGAGGTGGGGCCTGGGATCCTGCATTTCTAAGCAGTTTCCAGGTGACGTCAGTTTCTCGTCTGAGAACCACAGTCATTAGCAGGATTCTAGCTCCTGTGACCTTAACGTATATTTAGTTGTATCTCCTACTACTGTCCTAGACAGACTGGTGCTAAAACAGTGGCCACATGTTGCTATTTAAATATAAGTAAGCTAAAATAAGATACTCAGTTCCTTAGTTGCACTACTACACTTCAAATGTTCAAAAGCCATAGGTGGCTTGTGGCTACTCTATTGGACAGTGCATGTATAACAAACTTGCCCTTATTAAGAAAGTTTTATTGGGTGGCGATGCCCCAGGCAGAAGAAAATATTTCTAGTTCTCCATGCTTCCTGTTACCATCTTTCCTTACTCTGTCTTTTCCCAGGAACAATTAAATGCATCCTTTTAAGAACTCTTAAGTCTACCTCTTCTATGGAACTTTCCTGGAACTCAAACTGGGTGTGCTGCTTCCTTCAAATCTGTGTATTTGGCTCTTTCCGGCAATGTATTTCTACTGAATTTTGTCCACCTAGTATTCTAAGTATCCAAATCTTCCCTGGTTGTAGACTCCCATTTTCTGTGGGTATGCATGTTGGGGAGGTGGTGGACTATTTCTCACCCACGTGGTTCTGTGGGATTCCTGTGACCTGAACTCTGCCATCACCACGGTCATTAGCAGATGAGCCAGAGGACAGTGACATCATTCCCAGGACATTTGTTGAAAAATTAAAGGTTCTCTCTTTCGCTGGGGTCACCAAGCCAGCTGGATGCAAGTCTGGGTCTGCTGGCAGCCATTGTCCCCTCAAATGCGAAGCACTTGCCTGGGAATGAGAATCACAGAGAGGAAAGCAAAAGCAGGAGATAAGGACAGATACTGGATGACATCATCTCATACCTGGCTTTGACTGTATTTGGAGGGCTCTATCTATCCTTGACCGTTGCTGGGAACAATAAATTTCCTAGTTTTGCTTCAGTCAGTATTCAGTGAGGGGATTCTTATCTATTACAACCTCTCTCTGGGCATCAGTGCTCTGCTCTGACATACAGCAGCACGGGGCCCTTGCTAATTCTTGGCCACTCCCCTCCTGGCTACCCCTTCAGCCAGCCAGTCCCAATTACACTTCCTTGGTTTCAGTACACAGACTCATAGGAGGCATGCAAACATATACTTACCTTAATTAGGTTTTTCTTTACAAGTTTTAATATTCAAGTTATTTTTGGTACACTGATAATCAAATATGATGGAGCCAAAGACAATTTCCATTATCTGCTAATGAAATGTTTATGGATATTTCTCAAGTTTTTACAGTTTGGCATATAGATATTATGAATCGTTAGCCTCTTTCCTAAGTCACCCAAAACAAGCCCCAACTCCCTGGTTAGCATGTATCACTTGTCTGGCTAACCCTTAGGAACTTCCAGCGTATTTGTCCTTCAGCCATCCCCACCTCCTGGCTTTTGAAGGAACTTCCTAAAAACTACTACACTGGGGGCTGCTTGGGGCCAGCAGGCTGGTGGCATTCCTCCAGGTCCCACTCTTCCAACACACTCTACCTTTTGGATCAGCTCCCAAGGACTTTCTTAGCCTCATTTCTGTACTGCAGTATATGGAATCTGACCAGAATCTGCTCCTCCAATTGGCTCAGAAGGCCCCACAGGTACCGTGTTGTTGGGAAGTTTCCTAGACTCCAAACTCAAAGATGGCCCCAAACCCCGACAAGAAACTCACCACCACCCCCGTCTGCCACTTGCTCTCTAAAACCACATTTCCCAACTAGCAGTGGGCAGAAGGTGGAGTGGTTCATTCCTGAAAGAACAGAAAACAGACCCTCACTATTCCACCCTACCCCTCAAAATGTATTAATATACGCTGTTGACCAAGTAAGTCTTAAGCAGCACTCTAGAGGACTATGTACATGGTAAGGTTCATCTTTTATTAGAGATCTTATATTACATATTCCCAAAAAGATATAAAATCTTCCAAGAGAAAAATATCAAAACCTATTTGATTCCAAGATAAGCAACATAATCAAAACGAAAGCAAAGATTTTCTTCTAGACAAAGGAATGTGAAAACATTTCTGCACAAGTACAACAAAGACATGGGAAGGTAATTACAATGTTTCACAACACATTTTGTAGCATTTTATTTTAATCAGTATTTGAAGAAAACAAGGATGCCAAGTTCTCAAACACTGCAGGTATAAGCTCAAATATTCAAAAAGAAAAACAAAGATCACAAAAAAGAACGAACTAGTCGCTTAACTGAACATCTGCGATAACAAACATAATAAAACCTAAGCAAAACAAATATGCCACCGAGATCACAACTGAAGTGTATGGTTTTTACTGAGTGCCAGAGACACTAAATTATTTAATCAGTTCTTGACCACAACCCAAAGCAAAAGTGTCCTCTCTTCATTTCCCTGATGATTTATTCTAAAAATAAAAAGCAGAAACTTGCTGGTTTCAAGAGAATTTCTGCTTTACCTGTGAGCAGCTGGTGGCAACACACACTAAGACCCCGACTGACATGGGACAGATCCATCTCCAACAACCAGAAGTGGCAAAACCACTGTTATTGCATCAAGATTTTTTTATTTCAACTGATCAGAATTTCCAGAATGATTAAGCACACCCACTTAACCACAGAACACAGTGAACTCCCAAAGGAAGGTTTTACATTTAAGATGCAAAGAAAATACTGATCTTATTCCTGGGATTTGCTTCTGGCAATCTTAACATCTATAGATGTCCACAAAAAGGAAGTGTGGTTTTTCTTTTCCTTTTAGTTGTTTATCTCCCAAAATGAGGAAGGAAACTTACAGTACATGTTTATTGCATGAAATTACTCCCTTATAATATCTTCATCAACACTAGTATTGTTTCCTTAATTATTAAAGGCGAAAAAAGTTTATGAACTTAACATAACTTAGCAATAATCTTAGGAGCTGCATCTTGATTAAAAACAAAAACAAAACAGGTGATCATCAGACTACATGGTGAAACAGAAATTAGGTTTCAACTTCTCTGTAAAGATGTTGGACTGGCAGGAGGTAAGAGGGAAGTGTAAAGTCAGAGAATACTAAATTCATTAGGTAACACAGAGAATTTTCAAAAGTGTACATACTCAGTGAATCCTTTCTATCCTAAAACTGAACGTTCCAGATGTTTCTAACGTTGCTTCAACTTCAATGGCACGTTAATCACGATCTCAAACAAATTTTATCACACATATTGTAATGGCACATAGGCTTGGAACTTCCCTTTGAGGTTAGCATGTACAAAAGTTTGGAATTCACTCAACACACGTGCTCTTCAATAAAATAAATCAGGAGCTACATATAATTATGAGCTACACATAAGTGGGTTTCAAAACAGGGTCCCTTTTAAAGCATCCTTTCATTGAGTTACCTCCTGCGAGATGGAACAAGTGTATGGATTTTGCGTGTTACAAAATCCTTGCTTCAAGCTGCAGTCCTCTTGGCAGCAGCATATTTTAATTAACAGTATTTTTTTTTCTTTGTTTTCTGACCTCTCCGTACATTCAAATAGTCAAAATGTTTAGAATAACATCACCCACAAATTTAATGAAACAGATCAGAACGTGGCCAGCATTGTCAGGCAAAACTGATAACACGTCATGTGTCCTCGAAAGTAACCACTTCCTCCCCACCCCCGCCCTCTCCCCCTTCCTCAGTCACATGGGACACCAAAAGACTTAACAAGACTTATAAAAAAATAAGGCACATTTATCTTGATATGGTTATTTTTAAAATAGAAAACCCCTCTCCGAACATCTGTATTCAAATGAGCTGTGTAAAAAGACACCTTGTGGTACCTAAAACAGGTTATGGTACCTATGGAATTGCTTCTTCTATTTTAGTGACAATGGAATAAATTGCACCTATCCCACGTTGTCAAGTAATGAAAATATGCCTCTTTTTCTACTATTGCATGATTCAAAATCTGCTATTTCTGGAAATACTTACAAAGGGTGAGAAGGGAGGGGTCAAGTGGTACATTAGAAAAGGGTGTGAAGATCAATGATGTATAGGTATCGTGAGGGTTGATGGATTGCACTTTTCCACATATTTCAATACACAAAATTTTTCCAATGAGTATGAATGACTGCAACCATTTTGGCCATTAGCTTTTATCCCTCAGCCTTTTATTCCATTTTGGTAAAAACGGGTATTTCTGTAAAACTAATGAAGGATCAGCAACATGACTACTTATAACAATCTCTTCACAACCCCCGACACAGATATAGTTAGTTAGCATTTAACCTGAGATACAATCTGTGGAGAGGTTGTTTTAGACATTTCTTCCTTCATTGTTGCATCGATTCATACTGATGGTGGTGGTTCATGGATGGAACTTAAAAAAAAAAAATGGCTATCACATGGCTTTTTTTTTTTCTTTCTATACTGGTTAAAAAAAAAAAAAAAAGTAACAATCACAGAATTCATGTCCTCACAGTAGCCTGAAGCTAAAATAATGTGCTTCCTTATTGCACGTCAAACCTAGAAGTGTATAAAAGACAATGCTTCCCAATCCAAATCTGAAAGCCAGGTTCATCTCAACTGGATTCGGAATGTGCTGATTTCCATGGGACTCAAGTTGATCTCACTTATATTTCGGGCGTCTGGAGGTGAATGCATCAAGGATAATGATGAAGGTATGAGACTTGTGACAGTAAACATGCTAAAAAGCTTCTGTACCAAAATCTGGAAAATAAACAACAAAAAGTTGCACAGTTAGGTCAACTTTGAAGAAAGATTACTGGCACATCTATATATTTTGTCAGTAGAAAACAGTAGAATGAAAAAGCGTATTTAGTTTCCTTTTAAAGTCAAAAGGGGAAAGGGAAGGGTTAGATACAGCGTGCTTGGACACACAGACTGGCCTTGGAGGGACACCTAGGAGAAGGGTAGCCAGGAGAGGATGGCTCGCTCTACGTTCTTCTTCCGAATTACTCAATAATTTATTATTGTGCAGAGACCACTTTTTCAATAAAAGAAAAAACATCTATGTGCCAGCAAGCTTTAAAAACATCCATATCCTCTTATACTCAACACTTAACACCTAACAGTCATAGTTCTTCTTGTGCCCAAAGAGCTGAGAGAAAGGACAGAGGCCTGCTACAAGGAAGGCTGCTCTTATCAGGGACTCCCATTTTGAAGGTTGGGGCGCTGGGAAAGTACTACCCTCACCCCATGTCTCTCTGGATCCTATAATCCCCTTAAGACTTGAGGCCTTAACATCTATATACAAATGCTTACAACCAAGTATACACACAACATCAGTAATAAGGTAAAACGAAAAAAAAAAAAAAACCATCAGTGCTTTCTTAGCACCAACTCCATGTAGGGCACGATACAAGAAATGGAGCAGCTTATCTACCTGCTGCTGGGTAGTGGATTTTGACCCCCTACCACATTTTCTTTTCTATCCTTTTCATATCCGATGCACAATCTAATTTGCAGGGTTAGAAGTGAATCACTTGAGTCTGATCTATAGGGTATCTGTGAGGTTTTGGAGAAGAGCTGCCCCATGGGGCAGAGACCTGCCTGTGTGCCATTCAACTGCCTTCTCTGAGCACAACCCCCTCAGAGCCAGAGGCACAAGGCTGGAGGTTCTTTTCCTTCCAAGGAGAGGCCTGTGGGAACTATCAGCAAGACCAGTTCAAAGGAGACATAAAAATGAGGCAGCCAGCAGGTCAGCCTGAGGACCCCTTGGACTCCCATGCAAATCTGGCTTGACCAGGAGATCCAGACCCTCGTGTCCCCTGTGGAAACAACTGACTGGAGCTCAGTGAGGCTGCTTCGGGGCTGTGGTAAAAGTCCCCGAATGGCCACAGTGTCACTGCTTCCTGTCACTTCCCTACTACCACCCCACTTTAGTTATTATAGAACCTGCTTTAGCCCCTTTGAGACTTTGCAGAACTGGATCCTACATGAGCATGTGTGAGACAGGAGGAAGTATGGAGAGAGTGGGTGGGAAGAAGATGCTTTGTCTGTTGGCAATGGAAGGCCTAAGAATGGAGGAGAATGTTGTCCTCACAGGTCCCATGTTCCAGACATGGATTTTGGATACTGACAAGGAAGAGAGACTGAAGGTGGAGAAAGTTGCTTTCTTTCTTTCTTTTTTTCTTTTTAAGATTTTGTTTATTTATTTGAGATTCCAGAACTCCAGGATCATAAGCCAAGCCAAAGGCAGAAGCTTAATGACTGGGCCACCCAGGAACCTGAAAGTTGCTTTCTTAAGATGGAGAGATTTGAGCTAATTATATCAGCTGAGGGGAATGAGTCCGTGAAGAGGCAATGAGATATTACCTTCTTACTGTCAGAATTATTAGCAGAAAACAAGGATTTCAAAGTACATGAAGTCAACAAGCAAAAATCTCTTTTCAGCTCACCTTTCCCTGGGTCGTGGAACAAAGCAGCCCCGTGTCTCTGCTAGAGAAGCGGCAGTCAAACCCTTTCCTGTGGAGGATCAAGGCTGCTTCATCGGAATGCTTGCCATCCACCTGCAGATGGGCAGAGAGCGCCAATACGCCACAGTGACATTAAGGCAAATAGCGACACCACCGTATACTCCATTGTCTTGAAGTCAGTGTCCTCCAACCACAAATGCTCACTTTATTTAGCAGTGATGCCAGGAACGTTCATTTCCCCTCAGGTCTCACATTCTCTGTCATACCTGCTACATTCCCTCTACCTCCCCCCACAAGGAGGCAGATGACACTAAATTTTAAGGCTCCTTGTTAAGTCACCTCATGCCCTGGTTCCCAGTACAGTCCCTGAGGACCTGGGTGTCCTTTTGTCTACATGTCACATGCTGTTTTATCAAAGTTTCTTCAAATAAAGCATTTATTTATTAAGTTTAAATTCAATTACTTAACATATAATAAATTATTGGCTTCATGTCTAGGTAGAGCTCGGTGATTCATCAGTCTTATATAATGCTCAGTGCTCATTACATCATGTGCTCTCCTTAATGTCGATTTCCCAGTTACCCCATCCCTCCAGCAACCCTCAGTTTGTTTCCTATGATTGAGAGTCTCTTACAGTTTCTCTCCCTCTCTGGTCTTGTCTTGTTTTACTTTTCCCTCCCTTCCCCTACGATCCCCTCTGTTTTGTTTCTTAAATTCCACATATGAGTGAGATCATATGATAATTATCTTTCTCTGATTGATTTATTTCACTTGGCATAATACCCTCTAGTTCCATCCACGTTGCTGTAAAGGGGCAAAAAAAGCACTGAATTTTTATTTATTTAGTTTTTAACATATACATCAGCTGAATTTAACATATACATACCTGAATTTAGTCCTTATCTGGACATTGCATGATACATCATCCATCTCAAAACTGAAACACACTTCTTTATTGAATGCTAATTTTTGCTAATTGCATTAACATTTTTAATCTTTAATACACTGGTTCATTATTTTTATATAAAAGATATTTAAATTGAATTAGTTATGCTTATCACTTGCTAGGCCAACCACATTTATTAGCTTGATGTATCATTTAAATTCACATTACAGAAGCTATTCTTCTTATTCAGGCAAAGAGAAAAATACTAAACATGACAAGTCAGCTACAGGGATCAATATACACTTTCTTGCAGTAAAATTTCCTGCATCCATTTAAATAAGGATGCCGTGAGTGCCCTGAGTATTTTAAATTATAAGTCTCTTAATAAATTTTATGTTTCCTAAAGGGGGGCAATGTTTCTAATAATAAGCAAAATAAATTAAGAATCCTTGGATGAATTAAGAAAGATACAGCTATTCAAAGGAGTTGAGTGTGCTCAGCACTGACGTGTGATGAAAATGATCCCCTTTTCTCCTCTGTGGCCACAGATACACATATGTCCGAGTTCTTAATCATCCTCACTAGGGCATACGATTTTTAAATGTGCCACAGAGACATCTTTGGTGAAGAGCTGCCAGCATTCTCATCACTGATTTGATTTTAATGTGCCTGAACAATTTAAAGCTGTCCTCACCTCAGATTCTTGGCTGGAATAACCTGCTTTATGACATTTCACACTGGTATTTTGTAGTGGTACTGCTACGATTTTGTTTGAAGGGAGAGGAAAAAAGTCATTTAAGGAATTCTGAGTCATCACAGGACAACATGATAAACATAGCAGGTTTAAATCATATGATAAAGATTTCTAATAAAATTTCAATGTGTTTCACACAGTCCCAAAACAGCATGAAAAGAGCACAGTAAAAAAAAAAAAAAAAAATCCTTTGTGTATCCTATACAAGGTCTCCAGGAGAAAAACAAGGATAATTCTGTCATGTGCTAAGTGTCTAGGCTTAGAACAGTCACTGATTACCTAAGCATCAGTTTGTCTGTCTGCAAAATGGAGTTAATGCAGGTTTCCCTTCTTCCTGGAGACGTGGTGTCTCATAAGACGCTGAAAATACTATTTCTGGTGGCTTAGCTTATGAGGCAGAAAGTGTTGGTACAGAAGCTGTAGAAAATGGATCCAAACCTTGGCTGGGAGTCAGGCAGCTCAAGATCTAGATGCTAGTTCTGCAATTTCTTAGATGCTTTTAGCAAAACCTGGTTTCTCCTTTACCATAAAATGGAGATGAAATTCAATTGTGTAATAGGGACTCAGCCCAGTGTCTGCAGCAGAGGAAGCCCTGGGTACATTTTAGCTATTATTATTTCTATCAATGGAATCAACCAATTAAGTACTGGTGACTATTTTCCAAACACCTACCAATTAATCAATACTCTCACTTAACTTTTTATTCACAATTTTTCTTTCATGACATCATAACTTTGTAGCTGAGGAATCGGAGACCCTCCAAACTATATGTCAACGATTATGCATCAAAATCATAACAAAGTCACAATTCAGATTCACTATTTACGTGGTCTATTTGTGAGGCTCTTTTAAAAGTCCCTATCATTATAACCAAAGACTCTGGCCATTTGTAAAGATTTATTTATTTATTTATTTGACAGAGAGAGAGAGAGAGAGATTGTAAGCAGGCAGAACGGCAGGCGGGGGTGGGGGGTGGGGGGGTGGAGCAGGCTCCCCGCTGAGCAGAGAGCCTGACATGGGGCTTGATCCCAGGACCCTGGGATCATGACCTGAGCCGAAGGCAGAGGCTTAACCCACTGAGCCACCCAGGCGTCCTTTTCTTTTTTTTAAAGATTATTTATTTATTTATTTATTTATTTAACACAGAGAGAGAGATCACAAGTGGGCAGAGAGGCAGGCAGAGAGAGAGGGGGAAGCATCTGGCCATTTTAATTCACTAGAGCAACACGGCAACACGTGCTCTTGAAATAATGAGCGTGTGAGGCCTTTAGCAGACTGGAGGTGACAATAAGAAAAAAAAAAACAAAGAAGAGGAAAGGAAGCATCTTTGGAATTTTGCCATTAGTTTTACAAGAGATTTAAACAATACGAAAAGTAGAAATTGGAAGTCATAAAGAGTAATTTTCACTGCTGGGAAAAAAAGTTACACTTTCTCTCAAAACCAAAACTGCATCGCTTTCGTAAGGACCAGAACACCAACTGAAATAGCAATCATCGTGTCCAAGTTTTTAAAAATTAAATATTCATGAAAGTATCAGTTTTCAAGCAAAAATACCTGAGGCAAAGCAGCAGTTTTTCAGTTTCAAAGTCTGTCTTGTCATTTTATTTCCAAGAAAACTGTTTTTCAAAGTAGGGAAACTGTGAATTTAACTTGAATATGCATGCAAGAAAACAGATACCTTCACCAAAAAGATGCTGTTCACTCGAAGAGAGTAAACAGACTCTGAAAGGCCTGTTTTCACACTCATTAGTGTATGAGTACTATCCGGACCTCAGGAAAAAACACAAAAAAAGGGAAGGGGGTAGGGAAGAAAATTTACCAACTTTGACATTGGGCCAAGCGCTGTGCAAGGTGAGCTTCAAATCGAGTGTGTCTGTGAAACAGCTCAGATCACAGCGAAGGCTGAATCCCCTCAGGAGGACTTCGGTGTTCCGAAGGCACTCGGAGAATCCACTGTGGGACTAACTCCCACTGGATAAAGCAATCGGCGGCTCTGAGGCTAAGCGGGGCCGTGAGGTTTCTCTGGAGACTGGGGGGAGTGGAGGGAAGGCGGTGCGGCTGGCAGAATGAAGCCATCGAGGTTAGAAAAAGCTGGATCGGAGGCAAGGTTTGGTTTGGTTCTACCATGAACCAGTCCTGTGTCTGCGAATACGTCATTTAACTTCTCAGAACTCACAAAACTCGGTGAGACTCCCGAAGCGCCCCTTGGAGGATCAAGTACCAACCACAGTGATGGTAACAGTAACCGCAGCTAACGCTTTCTGAGAGCTCGCCGTGTGCGGGACCCTGTACGGAATACTTCTCACGGAAGAACTCAATTCCTCTCACAACAGTCTCTGAAACAGGGGAGGTGGTATGCAAGTTTGCATTATTACATTTAAGTGCACGTGAATGTCCCAGTCACGAAACATGCCCTCTCACGGTCAACTAGCAATGATCACCGATCCGCTCTACCTTAGTCCTTCATGATCCTCCCCGCAGATGGTGGGTGGATCCTTCTAAGGGTGTCCAGTCATGACTGAGTGGTCAAGAGAGAAACAGAGTATTCCCTAACATTTTCGGCACTCTCGCTTCCCTTTGTTCCCAGAGAAGAGGAGTATGAGGTTCTGGGCGGGGATCTGGAGTCAGCCATGCTGGGGTGTGCCCTTGGCACGTCATTTACGGGCTGCATGACCTGGGAAGGCTACCTACCATCTCTCGGTCGGCGAGTGTCCTCTTCTGAAACATGGGGGCACGATACTGCCCACCTTCACAGTACTGCTGGGAGAGCTAAACAAGGTTCTCTTTACAAAGAAAACCCTCAGCATAATGCCTGGCATGTAGACAATTTTAGGTACTTTATTAATAACTGCTCAGAGTTTTCAAAAACATATATAAGGAGGGGCGCCTGGGTGGCTCAGTGGGTTAAAGCCTTTGCCTTCGGCTCAGGTCATGATCTCAGGGTCCTGGGATTGAACCCCGCATGGGGCTCTCTGCTCAGCCGGGAGCCTGCTTCCTTCTCTCTCTGCCTGCCTCTCTGCCTACTTGTGATCTCCTTCTCTCTGTCAAATAAATAAATAAATCAATCTTAACACCCCCCCCCCCAAAAAAAACATATATAAAGAATACAAGTCAAGGTGACATCAAGATTTATTTTGGGAATAAACTTCAACCTTCAATTAAAAAAAAATTCCTACATTTTTACTTCATTTTTAGTAACAATCATCACTGCTCGTGACTGTTAAGAACTTCATTTGTCAAGCACCCCGTGCTTACTACCTGCCAGACACTCTTCTAAGTGAGTCATTTAATCCCTAGCACATCTCTGAGGTGGGTCCTATTATCACTGCCACGTTGTGAATGAGGCAAGTGGGAGAATGAGGGGCTGTGTGCTAAGCGAACCAGGTGGTAAGTGCAGGTGAGGGCTCAAACAAAGGCAGCAGGACAGTAACAGCTTCACCCTCCTGCCTTCG